AAGGTGCTTTTGTTTCTGTAAGAAGAGAAATAAGTGATGGCATTTGTTTTGTAACGGTTGTTGTATGTATTGGGCCTAGTGCATCTGAATGGAAGGTGCCAACGACATTTATATACGGTGTGTATGATTGGATGAACTACCAAGGAGCCCAAGATGCTAGAAAGCAAATGAAAGTTCCATGTGAGATTATAAGAGTTCCGCAGGTTTGCTTCTAATGCTTGGCTTTTTCATCATGCAAAATACAAGAGTTTTGTCTTCCAATGCAGAATACCAGTTTTGATGCTTTTTAATATTATCTCTTTTTGGAGGGGAAAAAAAAAAATTACAGTAGCATGATTCAGATCTGCTTGTTTGTGATTGCAGTCCGGACATTTTGTATTTATGGAAAATTCAGCTGCTTTCCATTCAGCCGTGCTTTATGCCTGTCGAAAAATTTTATCCCCCCATCAGGGCACTAACACTCTCCCAGAAAGCCTGCAATCTGTTTGAATGGTAGAATTAAAGATAGTTAAAACTAAACGTTTTTGTCATTCAGTTGTTGGTCACACAAATGTATGTCACTTGGCAGAAAAAAATGAGAATTTATCAGTATAACAGTTGCTGATTGTTCCTTGTAAACAAAAATCGGGGAGCTGTGGTATTTTATGTCAATGTACAGTGTTGGACGCTGACCCCTCTGTTTAGATGTATTTACGAGTGGAATTCTTATAGGGACTCATTCTTTGGAATAATATTCCTAATCACCATGTTTCTCATGCTAGGTTGTACTATATGCTTCCGTTGCAGCTTGATTTTAAGTGTTCACTCTTTTGCTGCAAATGCTATCTGTTAGTATCTCATACTTCATACATGAAATCTCACGCTTTTAGATGAGTTGGCTAGTTGTTTTACTTTGTTTTCCAACGGTATAACTTCTCGTTGTGAACATACACTTGATATGCCCCAAGTTGCCTCACACTAAACCTATTGTTTTGAGAGAGTTCTGAAAATAATTAATGAGTATGAACTGCACCACATTTTGTGTAGAAAATAGGAAAAAATGACCCTCCTTACCACATATATTTTACATTTGGACAAAAATGTTACCCTAATTTCTGAGGTACATTTATACACAATATTTTTGCTTTTTAACATCAATTTTAATTACAATTGCCATATTAAATTTGTAATCTTATGAAGTCAAAATGCTTTTTAAATATGGTAAAGTGCTTAATTTATGGGGAGATTCTACAGTCCTGTTACGGAACTATTCCGTCGGGATTGATAATTGTTAGATCAACTATCCACGACGGTTACATGATGATCTAACGGTTACAAATTCCGACGGAATAGTTCCGTAATGGAATTGTAGCATTTTCCTAAATTATGTTAGGGGATATTTTGTTATGGAAACCATTCAAACCCAAACACACAAAGCACTCCATATTTCATTCGGCCAAAAATTTGAAATTCTGCAAGCCCTAAAATCTACCTTCGCCGCCGACCTCCACCTCCACTTATATCCATGCACCGTCGCTAGCATCTCCACTCCCTATCTTCGTCTGGAAGTTGAAGCTCGAAGTTAGGCTGTTGACTTTCCCGTCAAAGCGCCAATCTAGGGTAGTGATTTTCCGATCGAAGCTCGATGGTGAGTCGGACAGGATCGGGCCTCCCGTTGCCCGATTCGGGCCAGATGAGCCCTCCTAACTTGTTGTCTCCGATGGCCTTGCATATGTGGGCAATCGACTGACGTCAGTGGTCAGCGCACGGGACCTCGAATTGGATTTGAAGCCAACGAGCCTCGAGAGCGTGAATAGACGGAGCAACGGCCGAAGGGGTGGCGAGATCAACGCGTTTCAACTCCGACAGGAGCTGGAACTTCGCTTTGCTTCGTTTGTAGAGTGAAGGTGTAATTGACCTAGTATTTTCTACTGAAAGTAGGTTTTGACTGAACTTCGCTTCGAAAAGTTCGTTGAGTCGATGTAATTGAGTTCTTCTTTCGGAGTCAGAGATTGGAATCGGAACATGCACACTTAAGGCTAGGCCTCAAGTTTTTTTTTCAGCCATACCTTAAGCGGCATACACGGTCCTCCAAGACCTTTTCTAACTGGATTTAGTATGGGGGGTTCCAGGAAAGCTACTCGAATTGGCTGGAAGTAAGACTGCGATTGGAATACTGGGAACTTAAACTCTCCCTTATTTACTACATCCATTGGTCTCGCTTTAAGAAGACCAGGGTGACGCGACTGAGTTGAGGAGAAGCGGCGAGACTAGGCGAAGCAGGGGATGACTTAGAAGGGCGTCGATTCGTTGGATAATGTATGTTCATTTTTTTTGTTGTCAACCGCGACTTTGTTTATATACCGTTTATGTATAGTATATGGATACATTGTTCTTTTATGTATGTTCATTTTAACATTGTGATATTATGATATGCTTATTTTTGGTTTATGCATTAATATATAATGGTTTTGCATTAATATTGTGATATAATTACAATTTATTTATTGTTTATTAAATGAACAATAGAAAAATAAATTTTCAGACTATTTGTTTAACTCACGTTTATAATCAATATATTATAATTACTTTGTAACATTTTGATTTTATATTATACATAAACGTTTTGTAACCGTTCAGGCAATCGGCCACACGGCAGGTAGGGGATTGTCCCGAGACCGATCTCCGTGCAAACCGAGCTCGCCAGCCTGCGCTGTCGGTGTTTAGGCAGCCGCTAGTGGTGGCTCTAACTCTGGGATATGTCATATCTTTTTTTTTTTTTTTTTTTTTTTTTTTGAACAAAAATATCCATCTCATAATCAATAAAGTTATCTATATATATATAAAAAGAATTACTATTTACTAAATATAGTAGCAAAAAAGTCAATGAGCATTTAATGCATACTTTATTTGGAAACTTTTAAATATATGCATTAATTGCTTTAATATGTACACATTTCCAAATCATATATGATCAAAAAGATTCTTTCCTTGAATAATTTTATTATCATATGCAATAATTTTATTGATATTCATTATAATAAACTATAATTTGATTTTTCATAATTGGTGTTGATAATATTTTTGTCAACATAACCATGAAAACAAATTTTAAGTCTTAACCATAATATTAATTTTTTTTTCAAAAATGTTGACTTTCATCCTAAAATATTTATAAACAATCGTAACATGTTAAATAATTCTCTCTCTAACTAATTAGCCGAAATCCAGTCGGTGAATAATAATTTTTAATAATATTTTTTAACCTTTATTTATTATATAAACAAATAATTTCTTTAAACTAAAATAATTTACCATTTAAGAGATAATGATCACATTATTAAATAATTTATTAACGGCTAAATAATAAAATTAAAATATATTAACTATTCTTTACAGTTTCAATATTTGATTTATTTGTATATTATTGTCAACCACGATAATTTTATCATTTTTTATTTTTATTTGTTTCCATAATGAATTTATTGTAAAATATATATTTATATTGCATAGTATGTTAAATAAACTAATAAAACCTTAGGATGCAAATTAGAAAAATCTCTTGATTATATAAGAGTTTATTATTTGACAATTTGCTAAATCAAATTTTTTTAATTATTATGAGAAATTTTAAAAAACATGTGTGTGTATTTTATAAACATTTATACACAAAATTTTATTTTAAACTTCATTACATAAACTAAGAAGAAGTAGACAACTATTAGAACCTTTATAAATAATAATAATGACATTATATGACAACTATTAGAACCTTTATAAATAATAATAATGACATTATATGACAAGAATAAGAATGATTTTTTTTATATCGATGAATAAATATATATTGTAAAATTAAATTTATATTAGTATAATGTGTAAGTAGAATGATATATTAATTAATATATCAATGTTATGACTAAAATAAATATCACTGATTGAAAGAAGTGGAAAACTGATGATGCAACCCTATTATTTTTTGCCAAACTGTACAAGCCATATAGAAATGACTCAATTAATATATGTGTCCCGTGCATCGCACGGGCTATGCACTAGTTTTTTTCAAAAAAGCATGTATTTGTTACCTAGTTTTGTGCATTGATTGGTGAAAGAAATTACAAGATAGGTAATTGATATATGTGGAAATATAAATCTTTTGTTGTATAGTATTGTAATTCAAAAAATGATCTACTATAAGTGGAAGTTGGAGAAAATATTAATGGAATTTGTGTACTTTAGCCTTGAAAATATTTGAGATTAGAAAGGCCCAACTTTAGACCTTAGAAAACCTTGAGAAAAATTTTACAGAAAATTACCTAGTCAACCACTTAAATCTATATTTATTGCATATATACACTTTATATATAATTTTGAGGAACATAACTAAAACTATCATATTTATTTGCATAAATACTAGATCGTCAGTTTACATATAATTATATTTATTTATGGACTAGGCAAATTTAATGGGGATTTCGTAGAAAAACCAAAACTGATTTTCACTCTTTATGACAATAACTTCCACCGCAAATCTAATTATACACTTATTCTGCCACCGATTCTTCCCCCGCCAGTGCCGCAGCCCCAATTTTCCTCACGAGGAAGAAGGCCAAGCGTATGCGGTCGGGTGCTCGCTCGACGACAGCAGGCCGATCTGCACGTGAACTTCGCCGACCCGCTCGCTTTGTCCCCCTTATCGAAGACGATCCCAACAACGTCGTGATTGAGGTGTCTTCACCAATCGGCGCTTTCAATCGCAGCGCCGCTACGTCGTGGACGAGATGGAAATTGACGAATATGTCATTAAAAATAATGATCCAACTGGAAAAAAAAAAAAAATGACAAAATCGACCAGGTCGGCAATTAAAGAAAAAAAAACATGTCAAGGCTTAACAACGAGCGTCAAATCTTATGCAGACTGTAAGAAATATATAATCTGCTGTTTCCTTGCAGCTTCATTGCAATAGCAATGCAAATTCCTTGCAGCTGCAAAGCACCTTCATAGCAGCCATTATGGGCTGATTTTTCAGCTTAAGTAATTTCTAGGAAAGTCACTAGGTAGTTGTTTTTAGTTCTTATAAATAGGGATGTAGTTTTGTATTTGTAAACACAGCAAAAACTGAATAATCAATACTTTGAGTTGTTCAATATCTTCTTCTATCCTAAAAGTGTCCGTTTGTGTCGGGAAGCATTTTTGCTTACACGAACAGTGCATCCTAGCTGCAAATAAAGACGAGCAGGGACTAACAAGTGGTATCAGAGCCATGGCAAGCCAAGATGCTGCGTCGATGGTGCAAGGGAGCGGTGCACACGCTTCACCGCGCCAGGAGGTCATCATCCACAGGACCGTACGGGACGTTGGCGGGGCCAACTGGCCGGTCCTCACACGCACAAACTATGGCGAGTGGGCGGTGCTGATGAAGGTCAAGTTGCGTGCGCGTAAGCTATGGCGGGCCATTGAAGAAGGCACCGAGGATGAAGAAGAGGACTGTGCAGCGATGGAAGCGATTCTATCCGCTGTGCCTCACGAGTACGTGGAGTCGCTGGGCGTAAAGGACTCCGCAAAGGCTGCTTGGGACGCCCTCAAGGCCATGCGCATCGGGTCTGATCGCGCAAAGAAGGCGAAGGCGCAGCAGCTGCGGCGGGAGTATGAGGCGCTGGTGTTCCGCGACGGCGAGGCAGTGGAGGATTTCTCGCTCCGTCTGCAGTCGCTCGTCAGTCAACTGGCGGCGCACGGCGTCACCATCACCGACGAGGAGGCGGTCGCGAAATACTTGCGTGTCGTGCCACCTAAGTACGCCCAGATCGCGCTCTCCATCGAGACGTTGATCGACATGTCCACCCTCACGATTGAGGATGTGACTGGGCGCTTGCGGGCGGTCGATGACCGTGTGGAGACGGCGACGATAACTACCAGCGGCAAGTTACTGCTGACCGAGGAAGAATGGGCAGCTCGTATGCGCGAGAGGCGGCCCGGGGAAGGCTCCTCCAGCCGTGGCGGCTACGGCAAGCGTCGTAGCAAGGCCCCGCAGAAGAAGAAGGACGGCGACAACGTGCGTCCGATCGACAAGGACACTTGTCGACGCTGCGGGAAGACAGGACACTGGGCCCGGGATTGCAAGAATCCCAAGAAGGAGAAGAGGGAGGCACACCTCGCGCAGGTAGACGACGAGGAGCCAACTCTTCTAATGGCAACGACCTGCAAGTTGCACGACGTTGAGCCAGAGTTAGAGGAAGTCAAGGCGGCGGTTGCAGAGCAGGGGAAGGCACTACAGGTCGTTCACCTCGACGAGTCAAGTGCCCAAGTCCACCTTGGACGAATGGGCGGTGGCATGGAGCAGAGGTGGTACCTAGACTCCGGCGCCAGCAACCACATGACCGGCTCCAAGGAGGCCTTCTCCGAGCTTGATGACGGCGTGACGGGGACGGTGAAGTTCGGAGACGGCTCAAAGGTGGAGATTCGAGGTCGCGGCAACGTCATCTTCCGGTGCCAGAACGGCGAGCACCGCGCATTGACGGATGTGTACTATATCCCGCAGTTGCGTTCAAGCATCGTCAGCATCGGGCAGTTGGACGAGCACGGCTGTGAGGTGCTTGTCAAAGGCGGTGTGCTAAAGCTCAGGGACCGAGACCAGCGGCTGTTGGCCAAGGTCCAGCGTTCCCGGAACCGCCTCTACCTCCTCGACTTGAAGGTGGAGCAGCCAGTG